TACCGTTGGACTGGTAGTTGGCGGTCTTGCGGACGTATTGCCACAGACCGGTCTTTTGGCCCTTGACGACGAGTTCGGGGAAGGTGTAGTGGGCGCTGGCCGTGCTGGCGACAGCGAGAAGGGTGGTGAGGACGGAGCACTTCATGGTTGGTTACTGTGAAGGAGATGTGATGATGGGTATCTTGATGTCTATCCGAAGTACCAAAGCCCCCTCTATATATACAACCATCCTGCTGGCTTGGTAGTGGAGCCGTCACACATCCAGGTTCTTCTATATTGCAGTACTATGCGCCCCAGACTCAGGCGTGTGGTACTTCATTTTTTTCGCCGCCTTGCGCACGAGTAGGTCGATAATGTTCCGGCGGGTAAAAGAGATGGTAGGTGATGGGGCGTTGCCGAACCGAGGTGTTGAAACGCGAGACCCAGTACAATTAATTCATGGGAAACATATGGATGTTTAGATGAGGTTAGTGGCGCTAGCATGTAGTCATTGGTCGGCAGGCAGCGTCCCCCTGTCCGGTAGTCGAAACACATGACCCGGTTCCGATATTGCGACAGGCGGCTTTGCCATCCTGGTAGATTGAATGGCGTCTCTAGTTGCACCACAAGCGTACGTTGGATGGAGGCGACTACTCGAAGCGCTGCACGGTGGCTGCTAGAATATATTGATCGTGTGGACTGCAGTATCGTGGCGGCATGGAAGGACTTGAAGAAAACCCGGGACGAAGATGCGAAACACTATGGACATGAAGCTTGTTTTCGTTAAATCCGATCGCGACCTTCTAGATGCGTGATAATGACATATGATACAGTGGGGTATGGAAACATGTACCTGTTGATCGAGCGATCGTCAACGGGTGAGCGGGAACGGTGAATGTGCTTGCCTGACAGCGAGCATGCAATGTGGGTCTCCCAGGTACGCCAATCTCAGGCGTTTCGTCTGCTCTCGACGAGGGCCAATTGCTTCTGCTCCTCTGCTTCGAACTCGCCGGCTTCGTAGTACAGATCCTCTTCGTCAATGTCGGCATAGCCGAAAATGCTGCGGTAAATACGTTCTCCAAGTCCCTTCTTCTGGGCCATGGCGAGTACCATGACAATGGGAAGGTGCCAGATGCTAGCCCAGAACAGACCTCTAGCAGTTCCTTTCTGTCCCTCAGCCTTCCAGAACTGCCAGGCTTTGAGTGCCATCCACCCATTGACGACGCTGCTCGTGGCTACGTAGCTCCAGTCGGTTACGCCGCAGTATGACAGACCGATGCAGACGGGAAACATCAGAATTGAGTATCGCAGTGCGACACGTCCATTCATTCCAGGGTTCACCCAGGCTGTCATGCGGTAGCCCGCGTTCTTGTACTCGTCGCGGATGGCCCAGCTCAACGCGTTGAAGTGGGGGAACTGCCAGGCGTACAACAACGCAGCGCACAGCCATCCTCCAGCCGAACCCTCACCAAACAGCAGTTCTTCCCAAGTTCCGTCATGGGCGTACTGACTCGCTGCAGCCGTCCAACCCATGAGCGGCGGTATGCCTCCCACGATCGCGCCAACCCAAGTGTTCAGTATGTGCATGCGCTTCATGGGCGTGTACACGGCCGCATAAAGGGCGATGTTGGCGGCGCCAAGGAACGCTGTCGTGGGGTTGACGCCGTAGTAGAGGGCGCCGGTACCAAGCACCCCGCACGCGACGGCGAAGATGATGGCGCCTCGTGTGCTGATAAGCTTCCGGACAAGAGGCCGATTGCGCGTACGACTCATCTTAGCATCGTGTGCGGGCTCCATGATCATATTGAAAGCGTTTGCGGATGCCGAGCACAGCGCCGTGCCGGATGTGAGGAAGAAGAGTGTGAGGGTCGAGAGGGACGGAGTGGCTGTTGCTGCGGGGGCAAGCAGACCTGGTACGGGGTATAGCGAGTATGCGGCCGTTGCACTGAGGACGACGAGGAAGGAGAGGCGCGGTTTCGATAGCGAGAGGTATGTAGTCATCATGCGCTTGAGCGACTGCTGCGGGAGGCTCGAGGATATGTGTGCCAGCTTGGACGACGCATCGTGTGGTATTGGATATGCCGCCTCCGAATTCTCTACTGCCTGCTCTTTTGCTTTCTTCCGCCGCCTATGTGGTAACACTTCTTCTGTGCTGGGTGTGCCATCCTCCTTCGCCGCTTGCTGCCCGCCTGCGTTCGCCGATTTGACAGACAGAATCGAGCTCTGTAACTCTGGCCCTGACCTCCAGAATGTGTCCTTCAGTAATGGGTTCGCCCGGAAGTAGTCCTTGCCGAAAGCAGTACCGCCTCGTCCGGCTACTATGGCGTCGTCTCTATATGACGGATTGAAAGAAATTAGTCTCCGGGACTGCAGCGGCGCTTTTGCAAGTCTGCGCCAACATCGTAGACATAGTGTGTTCGCATCCCGCGCTGCAATTGGCCGCGGCAGTATTGGTCGAAAGCTCATGGCGGCATGGGGTTGAGCTCCAGCGGACGGTCGACATGAGAGCGATAACTTTTGGATTGCACCTGCCAAGAGCCGAGGCGCGCTAGCCACTCAGACATCCCGCATTTCTACTCCACAATCGTCCCGTCTCCTTCTCAGCCTCACCACGTCTTGATAAGCGACAACCGTCAGCACTAATCTGCGCTCTTCACCGGATATCGCAAGACGGATCAAAAATTTGCGAGTCGCTCTTTTGCAATCATCCGACCAGGCATCAGCGGACTGGCATGGAGCTCCTTCGAGCTGGAGGCGATGCCGAATAGCACAACAGCTACAATACGCGGTGCCTCGGATGCTCCGTAATATGATTACGCCGCAAACTTGTAGGCAACGTTCAGCATAGGGCCCTAGAACCAAGTCAACTCTCGAGTAATCCAGAAATCGGATCGGAGCTTCATACCATTTTATCATGCACGTCCAACTGTTCGATCCAGACCCGTATGACATCGCTCGTACCCGTCCTAGCCGCATTGCTGCCCCCGGCTTGTACATGCAGCATGGCCCCCACAAGTTCAGCTCGAAACTGTCAACACAATTCCGTGTAACCTGCATGGGCTCGACAACCAATGGATGGTCGTCAGCCTGCAGCAAAGCGGCGAGGCTATGTAATACCTGGAGAAGAGCATGAAAGAGGCTGTGTAAGCCACAAGGCTACGTGCATTGATTTCTATTGCCAGTGCATCGCTCCCCGCGTCCGCTGAACTGTCGTTCGCATCGTCTACGTTCAAATGGATCCTATTAGCATCATCGCGTCGGCGATCACCATCGGTGCAAGCGCAGCCCAACTCTCGCTTGCTCTCTTCAGCGTAGTTCAGACAATCAAGAATGCGCCCACAGAAATAGCGGAGATCGGTAGGCCCTGAATTCCTGTATTGAGCGTACATCATACTCAACAGAAATAGCGGATGAGATATCTCTACTTGCGGGAAGTCTGCAGACCCTTGGGGAGATTCTTGATGCTCATCAAGACTTGTGCAAGCCTGCATTTTTCACCAATACTCGCTCAATCATATCACGATACGAACGGGTCGCTGCGGAGATTCGGCTACTAATTGATAAGAGACGAAGCCTGGTCGGGCTCAAATGGCCGCTGAAAAAGCCCAAAGCCAAAGGTCTTTTGAAAAAGGTCGAGGGAATCAAGACTGCATTGATTCTGGAGTTGAACGTTATTCGCCTCGCCAGAGAAGAGGCTAGTCGGCCGTAAGCATGATGGATTTTGTCTCCTGATTCTCGTGGTCGCTTACATCACCAGAACTCCAGACTTCAACTCGAGCGGTCAAAACCATGGTAGACCTAGATTCAATCGGTTTCGCCGGATTGTGGAAAGCGCTGTCCAGGCGAACAGGCACGTTGTAGAGAGTGCACAACAGGAAGACGAAAAGCTCGAGGCGGCCACGCAACCTTCCTCCTCGGCTGAACTAGCCCTATGGAAGAGTGGCTCCTCTGACACTGCGCCCTGGCTCTATCAACTGGTTTTCAGCTCTGGCGACACAAGCCCACCGCCACCATACCTACAAACACGTCAACTCCACCAAGCATCCGTCGTTGATGAAAGCGCCGAAACGGCCACTAGAAACAGTCATGCATCATCTCCAGAGCCCGTCGCAGTACCCGAGAGACGACCTTCAAGTCCAGATGAAAAGGCCATGATCTTGTGGAGTAGGCAAACGGAACCTGATCTGGTTGTAGACAGACTACTCTCCTCATGGACCACGCTCTCGCCGAATCAAATTAGTCTCAGCTCAACTCGTCAACACGGTGTCGAGGGCGTTGTGGAGGACGATGCCTGGAGGGAGGATATTCTCAGAATGGTAGAGGAAGCAAAGAAGGACGACAACCTATCTTTTGACGAATGGGAAGAGCAGAATGAGCCTGTCGGGTCCGACGACGAGGCATTCCAAAGTGCCGAAGAAGACAGTATGGTCGATACTAATGCACCGCCGTACAACTTTCGCAGTAACACCCAAAAAGCCCGCATAAGGAGTGCAAAGAGCTCTAACCGTACTGATTCACGGGCTCATACATACGAACCATCACCAACCTACGGCGACCCCCCGTCACCCAGACGCAAGGCTCGCGAAGTACATGTGACATTTGGAAAAACGTCAACCGGCCATCCACGTCAACATGTATCTAAGCAAAGGAAACACGGTGTGAAGCCACTACCTGCAGAGACTGAAACCAGACAGCGTCCTTCCAAAGTCTACACGATTCATAGTGATGATGATGAGGATGATGATGGAGTTTTCGACAGACCCTCCCGTGACAGGGTCAACATTCGCGATCCCAGGAACAAGTCCAAATCAGGGTATTCAAATCCCTTCAGACATGGTCACATTCCGCCCCCTGTCAATTATGGATACAGTCCGCCATGGCAGGAACCACCACACGTGCTCCCGCCTTCTGAGCCGCCGAGACAAGCATATACATCCGATCCATACCCACAACACCCTCCAAGTCATCAGCCAGCCGTTGAATCCCCTCCGCCGTCTCCTGCCCAAGCTCAAGCTCCACCGATGCCTCTTCCTCCACCCCCGCCGCCTGCTCCACCCGTGGAGATGCAGACAAGAACGGCCGAGGATGAGGCCAGAGAAACCGCTGTTCTCGCTCGGGTAGAGACACTACTTCAGAAGCGCAATCAAGAACCCCGCATTGAGTACGAGGACTCACCGTTCTCGAAACTGGCGAAGATATTCAAGGAACAAGAAGTCCAAAACGAACGGGAACGTGCCAATGCAACAGCTGAGGTGTACATGAAGCAGATGCAGGATGCCCATGAAAAGGACGAGGAGAAAATGAAGCATCTCGAAAGTCTCGTAGCAGCTCAAAGGGCAGAGCAAAAGCGCATGGAGGTTAAGTGGAATGAGGAAAGGAAGGCTATGGAAGTAAGAGCAACTCAACAAGCCCAACAGACGAGGGATCTGGCAGCGAAACAGATTGCTGCGGCACAGTCGGCTAAGGAAGTAGCTCAAGTAGCTCTCAACACTGAGAGGCTGGAAGCCGAGAAGGAGGCACGGAGAAAAGCCGACGCCATGGTCATAGCGGAAAGACAACGAACCGACGAAGTGCACAGGTCGCAATTGCAGCGTTACGAAGAGCTACTTCATGGGATACAAGAGCGGCAATTGAGCTCAGAGCAAGAAAACGATCAGACCATAAGACGGACTCGCATAGCCGAAGGCAATCGCAGCGTGGATGTAACAGAATATGCGACAAGCAGACGACCTCCGCTTACAGCATCTTCTTCCACCCCATTCTTGGACAGTTTCGCGCGCCTGGACATGAGGCCGAGCTATCGCGATCGTCCCCAAAGAACTTCTCGTCGTGACAGCTTTCGCAGTTCCATGGGCTCAATGCATGCTTCGCGTACTTCATTAGGAAGTACAGCCACGTTGGAAAGTAACTCACCGTCTCAGCAGATGATCGTCTTCCCCGTCAAAGCCGACAGACGCTCTCAAAAGATGGACAGGCTGCAAAAGTCGTTGGCTGGGTTTGGAATTGAATCTGTCTTTGAAGACGCTGAAGACCATCCGTTTCACACCAGTCAGCTCATCCAATATAATCACGACAATACGGATGACCAGATTGTTAGGAGTACTATCTTTTGGGAGTCGTCGGCGCTTAATCTAGGAAGCGAGCTTCTGCTGACCATGAGGCAAGCCGGATGGAGGACACCCTACACTCGTATATCAGGTAATGATGCGTCACTAAAGTTTGATAACCATGTACTAACACTGTCTAGGCAAAGGTCAGACTCACTATCTAGGGAGTCAACCGATACATACATACTTTTTTGACCCTGACTACGAACCGCAGTTTTGCCCATCTGAGACAGCATCAGGCAAAGAATCGATCACTATTCAGAAAGCCCTTGTGGAAGAGTATGCGCTGATCGAGCTTGGCTTCCAATTTCAGACCAACGATATGGGTTTATATATTCTCGACGGTAGATTGACATATGTAAGAATCTATGCAGCTTGCGACTGTGAACCCGAAACTAATGCGTAGCAGAACGACATCGAGACAGTCATTGAACGATCGTTCCTCATGAGAGAAAACAACTATCGGCGCCTCCACCGTCAGCTACAATGGCATTTCGATAAGGATCCCGAAGTACCCTTGAGTGCCTACCCGGCAACGTATGCGCCATCAGTGCACTCCGTACCTTCCGTGTACTCGGGTGAGAACTCCACTGTCTGCGACGACACAGATGCAGAGACGCGAGGCAAGAAGAGCCCCAGTTCGGCGGGCTCCGATGCCGATCAGTCCGATATTGGCGATGTCAGCAAATTCCTTGTTCCTCGATCTGGAGCATCGAGAAGGTCAGCAGCGCCGTCTTCTGCGGCTTCGCGCACTTCGAAATCTACGAATCCGTATCGGAAGTACATGAATGCGGGGGAGGATAGTGGGGTCGATAGTGTGTCTAGGTCATCTCGTTCTCCAAGTCACTTCGACTGAGGATGTATGTGTAGACATCAAGCTAGACGCAGGAAGTGTATGAAAAGGTGTGACTTCTCTAGTTAAAAGGGCTTGTTATTCCTCACTGCCCTTGCGACCATTGAGCTCTCTGCTCTGATGCAGTTGCGATCATCGTCAATCCATTGTATACACACATCTGAATACTTATATCTGCATCTATCCTGTGTAGCTCGCAAAGTGTCTTCGCGCCGTGAGTACCTAGGTAGTTGCGCAGGTGTTCTCCCGCTAGCCCATGACGCAATTGGCATCCCGAGAATCGGTATCATTCCGAGGCAACACCCAAAACTTCGTAAGCATCGCGCCTTCTACAAGCTACCCTGTAAATTCTGCGCTGCATCTCCCACGCGCATTCTGTACATGCGCTTCAAGCACTTCCTCGCCCTCTCAGACCCACGTCTTTACACCCTCGCCAACTTCCGCGTCCGCTCACATTGGCGCACCATGGCCGCCGCCCCGCCCCCAGATCGCCCGATAAAGCTATTGATGCTTCACGGGTACACGCAATCCGGATCACTATTCCAAGCCAAGACCGGCGCACTGCGCAAGACATTACAAAAAGCCTTCCCCAAAGGCATCGAACTCGTATACCCTACTGCGCCGATACGTTTAACACCCGCCGACGAATCGTTCCTAGCGGGAAACACAAGTAAAGATGGCGAGGGCAAAGATGCAAAGGACGGAGAGGAGCAGGTAATCGACGCATGGGCTTGGTGGAGAAGGAAGGGCACAGGAGAACCATACACATACGAAGGCATGGAGCAAGGGTTGGAGCGCATCGCAAGCGTGTTGAAAGAACAAGGTCCTTTTGACGGTGTCGTGGGATTCTCACAAGGTGGAGCCGCGGCAGCTATGGTCGCGAGTTTGCTCGAGCCAGGCCGTCGCGCCGCGTTTGAGAAGCTGTATCCTGAGGGCGGCATGAGGTTCCCAGAGTCTTTTGAAGAGGACACTGGGTACATGGAGGGCACAATACATCCGCCGCTGAAGTTAGCGGTCAGTTATAGTGGCTTCGCAGCGCGTGGGAAGAACCCTTATCACGCGTTCTATGAGCCTAAGATCAAGACACCGATGCTGCATTTCCTGGGTACGCAGGATGTCGTGGTTGAGGAGGCGCGGAGTCTGGCATTGGTCGAGGCCTGCGAGCACAACGCGGAGAAGTACGTTGTGTACCACCCTGGGGGTCACTTCCTTCCAAGCACGCAAAAAGCCAGCGTCAATGCGTTGATTGGGTTTATCAAGGAAGTTTTGCACGAACAGCAGGGTGGTGGAAAGAAGGAAGAGGAGAGTGTTGAGGATATGGATGTGCCGTTCTAATGTTGAAGGCGGACATATTCAGAGGTCTTGAGAGCGTTGGTTTCTACACAGGAGCGAGGCGTTTAGGTAGACTCGCAATAGACAATAGACTAAAAACGGCCGCAAACGTGCAGCTCTTAATGCAATGCACGACGCGGGGAGCGCTGTCACAAGACCAGGCGAATGCGCACGGGCCCTCCTACCCCATTGTTTGGGTTGGCGCCTTCCATGTTTACATGAGTGCTGTCATCCCGAACACCACCACCACACACCAAATCGCGACTCCACCATGGCGCAAGCAGGCAAAGAGAATATCGCCGACGGTCTCATCGCGAATGGCTCGTTCAAGGCGTCGACGCAGCCTTTGAAGAAAGCAGCATTATCACCAAAGAAAAAGACGCGTAGTAAGAGTATCGGCCCTGGAGGTCTGGGGGAATTGGAAGCGCCTCCGCTGAAGGAGAGTTTTGGAAACCGCAGAAAGGTATGCCTCGTACACGCAATTGTAGGAGTGAATGCTGACCAAATAGTCTGCGTTTATCCCCGCCGTCAAGTCCATTCTAGCCTCAAACGATGAAGATGAGAAGAAGCGGCGCGAAGCGCGCCGCAAGTCGCTGGGTACGTGTTTCGAGCGTGAAATCAACCTGGAGGCTTGACTAACAAATGTATAGCAAGGCGACGCGTATCTTTCGCCCCGGAAGCCACTCTACATACATGGGACGTAGTCGAGTACATGCGCGATGCGACCACCTCGTCCGCCTCATCGGAGGCCACACGCAGAGCCTCGAACGTCTCACAAGCATCCACACCGGCATCGCCTGCCCCTCCACCGGACCCCGCCGAACCTCCTTCTACACCACCAGAACAAGCCGAAGAGCCTCAACCAGAGCCCAGTTCATCGCCTGAAAGCCAGCGCGCGCAACACCAAAAGAAGAACCGCCGGAGTTCGGGCATACCGCCGATGAACTTCAACAACCCCGACGACGTCTACTCCTCAAGCCCGCTAAGCGGGGACAATGCTTCGCCCGGTGGAAACGATGACGGAAGCAGCGAATCTGAGGATATGGATATCGATGATGCCACAGAAAGTCTAGGAGCTTCACCCGATGTTGAGGACTCATCGCAGAGCAGCGCTCGACTGGATGCTGCGCTGCGCGAGGCTGCAAATTTGGCAGGCACTCAGAAGCTGGATTTCGACGACGATGACGGAGACATGAGCATGGAGATTGCCCAAGACGAAGTCACTGCATCTTTCAAGCCCTGGGCAAAGAAGAGCTTCGTCGCACAATATGATAAGGAGAATGCAAGCCCTCTTTTCTCCCCAGCACGCACCGTAGCCGGCGAGGACGACGACATGAGTATGGACATCACGCGCGCAGTAGGCCGCATCGTACCCCCACCACCACAACAAAAGCAGCCGGAGCAGCAGCAACAACAACGCTCAGACGCAGCGAGCTCTGACGTCGACGACGATGACATGACCATGGACCTTACTATGCCACTTGGAAGCATACAGGCGATGGCGGCATCTTACAAACCAGCAAACAGGAGAAAGAGTCTTAAGAGGAGGGTCTCATTGCTCGATGAAAACCAAGGTAGCCCTGCAAAGCGCACTGCAAGCCGGCGTACCAGTTTGCGACAGCGTCGACAATCCGAAGAGCACGGCGAAGAAGACGCGACCATGGACCTCACAATGGCAATTGGAGCGATTAAGAAAGCGCCACAGCCGGAGCCAGCTAGACGTGCTAGTGTTGGAAGCGTCGTTGATGATGCGACGATGGACTTCACACTGGCTGTGGGCAGCATTAAGAATGGCAAGCAACAAGCACAGGAAGATCAGGAGGATGAGGTCGAAGATGAAGACCTTTCCATGGAGTTCACCAAGATTGTTGGACCTGGTATTAGGCGCGCCGGCAGTTCAACAACGACACCACAAACACCCGTAGACGACACACCCGCTTCAGCAACCAAAACACCGACACCGCGAAAGTCTCCGAAGAAGTCGCCTGGGCGAAGAAGGAGCTCCATTCTGGGGACCGAGGCCGAATCAGCGCCTCATGTCCTGCAAGACATCACTCCCAGTACGACCGGCGATGTGGCATATCCCACCCTTGACCCTGGTACGCCAGAGATCGTCAGGCAAAAGGATATTGAGGAGGTCGAGCCTTCGCCGTTTGTGCGCCGGACTCCGCTGAGTGCAACCAAAGAGAAGGAAGCTGTTGCGACTCCTTCGAACCCTACGCCGCAGAGGACACCCATGATGATTCCTGAGGACCCAATTGCAGCTACAATACTTGACCGACGTCGCTCGTCCTTGTCCGCAGTGCAGTTCAGTCCTCTGAATGCACCACGTCAGGAGCCTACACTCAAGAGCACTGCACTTCTGAGCAATAGCATCAAGCTGTTATCCACCCCGCGAAAACAGACATTAATGTCGCCAGTGAAGAAGGGGATGACACCGAAGAAGTCACAGACTCCTCAAAAGCAGCCAACGCCGAAGCAGCCGACACCGACACCCAAGAAGGGGAATCTCAGGCAAAGCATGAGCCCAATGAAGCGCGTCGCTTTTGGTGAAGAGCCAGAGGAGGAGAATAACGACGAGGGTGGCGTGGCAGAAGATATGTCGGATGTCGAGCGAATCTCTTTACAAGACTTCCTGGACATGACCAAGATTCGCTTCATGGATCTTAGTACGACCAAGCGACGCCATACTGCTGCTCCTTCCGCTTTCCACGATGTGGAAGTAGAGGAGAAGGAGGAATCTCTAGATCGCTACGTTGTGGCTGGAGCGTGCACCTTGCCTGAGTACGAGCTGTACCAGCATGCATGCCACGAGATGAAGAAGTACATCTCAGATGGTCGCCACTTTGTCCGTACTATGGAGGCCAACGTACTAGAAGAGAACCCACTGCTCTTCAGCGAGTACCTCACTGCACCCCCGGACCAGCGCGCTGTCATGGACAACCAGTTCAAGAACCTCAAGACCAACGCGCGCCTCGAGGCTCGTGGAGAGTGGTATACATGGCGAAGCACGTTGCTGCACGATCTCAAAGCTGGTCTCCTCCACACCATGGACGGTTTCAACCACGACGAATCCACACTCATCAAACAGGAGCGCCTTCTTGACGAGACATTGCCTCCTCTAGTTGAGAAGAAGGAACGTCTGTCCACTGAGTGTAAGCAACTACAGCAGCGTCATGATGAACTCAACAGCTGTGACCGGGAAGAGCTTGAGCAGACGAGAGAGAAGCTCACTGCTACTGATGCCGAGTTGGAAGAGAAGAAGCTGCTTCTTGTACAACTGCAACAAGAGCTTGCCGACAAGGAGACAAGCATCGAGGCAGCTAAAGACCGCAAAGTAGAATGCATCCAAGAGATCAAAGCAGCGGAACGTGTACGAGAAGAGTGCCGCGGCTGGTCTACAAGCGAGGTCAGCAGTCTGAGAGGTATGTAATGCTCATTCCCTGAACGCGAACTACACTAACAGCACACTAGCGAAACTCACTGCTCTTGAACAAGCCCACGGATGGAGCATAACGTCCGCTTCCTCGAACAGCATCACAATGACACACATGAACGACCTCGAACTCTACTTCGTACCTTCTTCTTTCGCCACTGGCTCCAACACACCCAACGGATCTATCTCTCTTGCCTACATCGGTGATTCAGCAACACCACATCCTCGTGCGTTGACAACAAGCAAGCGCTTCTTCCTCCAGCTCATCCGCGCACACCTTCATGGCATCCCTCAGTCGCAGACCCGCATCTCATCGCTCCTTTCTCTTGTCAAGAATTCCTGGGCTACCGCCATTGCAGTCGCAGAGGGCGTCCGCTGGCTTGAGCACAGCTACATCACCGAAGAGTTCATCCTCTCGGACGAGCGCATGGCAATCTCCGCGAACATGCTGTTGCCAACCCTTCAAACAAAGGTCAAGGCTACCTTTGAAGTCGGTGTTAGTCTAGGCAAGGAGGGCATCGAGACCGACGTCAATATGAGAGCGGAGGTTGTCTACGGTGAGAAATACGGCGAGGAGAAGATGGGCGCGTTCTTGCGCGACTTCTGTGGGAACGAGATCAAAGAAGAAAGGGAAATGTCTGTCTGGGCGGACGGTATGATGGATCTTGCTGCAAGGTTGAAGAAGACCGGAAGGAAGGGCGAGAGGAAGTAGACGTGAAGCGTGCCTTGTATGGTTGGCATTACGATGTTACGACTTAGCTTTATGGGTTACGACGGCGTTGATAGTAGACAGCTTGAGCGTCACCTGGGCAATGCATTCTTCGATAATCTTCAACAATCGTTTCTTTGACATGATGCCGTTCAGATGTCGCGACTTCCACCATGCCACATCCGCTCTAGTCACGTCAGCCGGAGAAACTCATGATCGACGTCATACGGAACATCTCCAGAGTTGAGTCTAACCCATTTCCCCAGCAGAGGCTCGGCGCAAATTACACCGAATGTCGCGATTCATGGACGACTGTTGTTGACGTTCATTCCATGCTATCCTGGTTTTAGCCGTCCCCGCAATCCGGACGCCGGGAATGAGTTGCTGTAATTTGCGGAGAAGGGGCTAATATGGCATTAGACTTACCTCCAATTCTGTATATGTACATACGGCCGCACCTGTTAGATCGTAAGTTTCGCTAGAGACATTGGATGCGATGTTACTGTCCGTTGCTTCTGTGATTCTCGCCTTCGTGGCAAGCGGCACATCCGTTTCTGCATCACCAACCCAGTATCCCCATCAAAATGCATCTAACCCCATCGTCCATCTCGATTACGGTACCTTCCGCGGCGCATCATCCTCTCAGTACAACCTAACATACTACCGCAAAATCCCCTTCGCAGCATCAACAGCAGGCGAAAACCGATTCCGCGCACCCCAGCCACCGCTCCACATCACCAATGGCACATACGACACCGACCAGGCCTTTGACATGTGCCCGCAGCGCACCGTAAACGGTTCAGAAGACTGCCTCTACCTCGGCCTCTACTCGCGCCCCTGGACAAAAAAGCAAGACCT